ACAACTTAAGCGTGTCCACAAAATCTGACATATTGTACAAAAGCGTGATGATATTGTACAAAAGCGTGATGATTACAGAAATTGATTAATGAAACCGTAGATTGACAAAGGTCAATGGTGGATCTCGTTCTCAGTGTTCCTGCTATTATTCAATGAGTGGGCGGTGCCTAGATGTTGACACACAAAATCCTGTCGTCCTTGATAGAGGGACTACAGGAACCTCACCGTCCCCTTCTCTCCCATACAACACCGTGAGGTACTGCCTCAGACGGGTGTATATAGACACTAACATTTGCTTGTCATCAGCAGGTACTTTACTGCTTCTGTCTTACATTCTTTGGTCAATAACGACCATATACCTTTAGTGGTAGACACCGATGGTAAGCTTCTTAAAACACATCTTAATAGATTGTATTAAAACACTGCTATATATTTTTTAAAACGTTTGGTATGTATTGGTTGTCTATACTTTAGGATAATATAAAATCTGATATTGGCTACAAACTTCATATGATGGTGTGTCCAGAGTTTTCAATCTATGGCTATTTAAAGGTAGTCATACTCGGAGAGTTTACACAAACAAAGCAAAAACGGGTCGTTTGCATTCGGAGCAGTTATTTAAAATGTTCAGTAAATGCGTGATATATTGTCTTTAATAATTTGAGTATTAAGTATGAGAAAGATTAAGTTTTATTTACAATGTCCAATTCTAGAAATCATAAATACATGACATTGTTTTTATATATTTTGTCCTTTTTTGGAGTAAGTTATATAGATTTAGATGTCAGCTTGTTTTTTGTAAACACAAATTATATGCTAAAATATCTCATAGTGAGAAAAAACAGTTGTGCACGGGTAAAAAAAATCACCTAATATCTTCTCGATTAAATTGAAATATTATTTTTATTGAAATTAAAGTACAATTTATTTTTATGAAATATGAAATGAAATAATATCTTAAATAAAGGTAAAACACAGTATACTTTCATTTACATGCCTTTATCAATTAAGATACAGGACGAAGAATTTGTATTGTATGAAATATCTTTAACAAGAACTTTTGTTATATCATATGCAAATGAGTTATAAGCTTATAAAAATTAATGTAGGTAGATAGTACTTGGAAACCAAAGTCAGTGATTGGTATCGACCACTGTTATATAATTTCATATTGTTTTCAAGAAAAGTCAAAAGTCAGACGGGGTTATTTATATTTTCAAACAAAACCAAGAAAAGAGAGATAGCCGATAACATTATGTATCCGACAATCATATACAGTAAAATTTACATCATTATAGACACAAAAGAATATCACCAATCTCTCTGCGTTGTCTTTCCTTGTTCTGTTATACATTGTACAACTAGTATTATCTTTGTGTATCGTGTGCAATTAATAGTTTACTGACTGTTGTAGCTTATGTCTAATTATGATTAATCAAAACAAAGAAATGTAAATATCAATATTTATATCAAAAAGATAGAAAGACAAAGTCAAATTATCTAATGTAAATATAGAAATTCAGCTTGAAGTGTAGACTTATTTATAGTCAATCCAAATTGCGAAAACTTGTGAACTGTAGAATATAATCTTAAGTGGTGTTTTGTAGTAAGAAGTTTGTTAATGATTAAGTATGTTAAGTATGATTATGTGCAACTGCAATCGCAAAGGAAATTGTGTGTTTGAGGTGTGTTTATGTGTTAAAGGATTTCTTTTTTGGTCGAACATTTAATTAAATCTCGGTATAAAGCGACACTGGAATGGATAAAAATTACAGAATTATAGAAATAAGTATTTATTAATGGCCATAAATGTTTACAGATGTTAGAAATCGATAGTACATATTTAAAACAATTTTTAACTAATCAATATTTACACTAATCTTCAGAGCAGCATTCGTAGAAGATAATGTTTGAAATAAGGTAATTAAAAGTAATTGATATGATCGGATATACCGATACACCATTACAATACATGATGCTGGTCATGTTCTGACAGTGTCTAATTCTTCTGTTGCGGTATTCATACGTCAAATGCTTATGAACCGTTCTCTTAATATAAAGTGTTTAACTAAAGACATAGAATATCGAGTACAAAAACAGCAACGCAGTACGATTGTGGCGATATTTCTGTGTTGGTACTGTAACTTGAGCCACGAAGAGACGCTGACGATGTTTTCACTAGTAATGGCACGCGTAATCGCCTACTGAGGGATGCCTCGAGGACTAAAGAAGGAGAAAGATTCAAATTTCATATAATAGGATGTAATTACTTCCATTTTCCTGGTGAAATAGAATAAATTGTCCTTCCGTAAGTCGTGTGCTCATCGTTACTTCTCGCGTGGTACATAGCGACCATAATCATATCAACCCCGATTTGCACGAAAAAAAAAATAAAGACAAATGGGCGAATAGGTCGCCATTTCCACAGTAATAGCTATAAGAATGAGCTTATTTCACAGGGAAAATATGCTTTTCCTTTTAAGTTACAGAATTTGAAATATTTCTTTATCTGGAAATATCTTGTATGCTTTTGTCTATTCTCTAAAATATTTTTTTTCACACGGTCTAAAATTTATTTGTTTTGAAAAAATCTAAACAATTTCTCTTTTTAAATCTTTGCAATGATAGCGATGGCGCTGTTCTGTGTTTTATGATGCTGTACGTCGATATGTAATAATTTGTTGACGTACGAGCACAATACATCAGAAACAAGGATCGAATATAAATATTTTCCATACGAGATTTATGTTACTTGTACAAGACCGTTTAACTGTTGTATATGATGGATTGAATTTTAAATCGATAAGTAAATGTTTGGAATACAGTGCACAACACGCCCGTAACAACATTCCTTGTCTAAGTCTTTAGCAACAGACGCGAAGTGGGTGCAACACATCAAAGCCAACTATGAAGATAGCAAAGAATAAAGTCCAGTCAACTGGAAAAGCGCAATCCCTTGTGAGGTTTCCTCAGTAAAACTCTTGTATTGGCTGCCACCCACCGCGGCCGCCGTCTCAACAACAAACTTAAGCCCACCTTTTCACATAATGCCCGTGTATCACAAATTTACAAGTCACAAAAACGCTTAAGTTTCTTAAAATGTACTAATCCTTCTACAAGCTTTTATTCGAAGTCGATAACCGTTGCAAATTATGCATTAAGGCTCACAAAGGAGTCAATTCCATGGCCCTAAAGCTGTGTTGACGTCCGAATATGTTTAGCGTCTCGGTCTCTGTGCCTGATAAAAGCGAGTCAAAGCTCACGGACACTAACAATGTTACAATTTGAGAGAACTATACGGGACAAGACCCCGTCCTAGTGACAAACACACAGCCAGTTGGTGGTGCTGTGTTTGTGTTTTGACGATAACATATGCTAATAGCACGCGGATTAATGTGTAAGTGGGGCCTTTGGATGAAAGCGACCATCTGGAAAAAGTAACCCGCACCTGGACACATTTCACTGACTCATGGCACCGCGATAGGCTTACAACATTGCTTCATTTGCCTTCGTTTCTCTTCTTTTATTTTGTTTTTCACACTCCACTCTTTCTTATTGAGATTCTAACACTGACTTTACCAACTATAATCCCATGACAAGACTCGCGTACACTTTGCTCATGTCCTTGGCTATTTTTCTTCAGAATCGTCAACCATATGTAAAACCTTCCCACAAAAAGACTAGGAGATCAAAGAGCTTGTGATTTAGGAATAGTTACCGCGTAACTTAGTGGAGATTTGATTCCCATAAGACATACCCTTACTGACAAATCAGATATGACCACACAAGCGTGATTCCGTCACACCTAACCTGAATTGCAGGGAAAATATTCAACATATTTAAATTTGTCCATAAAAAATCGATTTCACGTAAAATGAATTTAAAGCTTCGAGGTCAGACAGGTGGGCACATAAGAAATTAGTACCAATGGAAATGGACTATTTTACTGCCGTGTGTTGGCTTAACTACACATAAACAAATTAGCCTTGCTAAAAACAGTTATGATATGTTGATGTCTGCTGACTGAGTTTTCACCTATTCTTACACAGGATTTCACTCTTTAAAGATTAAATATTTAACGTAAGTATGGCTGTTCTATTTTCAGAACATACTGTTATATTGTCAACTGATTTGCCTCTGTTTTCGTTATTTGATACATGTGTATGTAATTTCTGCTTGTTCATGAGGGACATATTCGTTCTCCCTCGGCCTGTACAAATGGCACACTCGTGAGTAGTGTACCACATTTCGTCACAGTTGTTGCGTCGTTCTAAGACTATTCACTAGTGCCTAGAACCTAAATTATGGAATTCCAAAAGGGAGAAAAAATAAAATAAAAATCGAAATTAACAGATTTTGAGACAAAGACGAAGAAGTTTTTCAACGCCATTGCTTAATTATAAGATAAATCCAGGTATCGCATTATACTAAAATGGCAAGCTTCTCTGTAGATTATTAACCATCTCTCTATATGTATAGATTAGAAATAATTCTCTCTGTCTGTATAGATTAGAAATAATTATCTCTGTATGTATAGATTAGGAATATTTCCTTCAATCTATATAGATTATAAATCTTTCCCTCTGTATGTATAGATTAGGAATATTTCCTTCAATCTATATAGATTATAAATCTTTCCCTCTGTATGTATAGATTAGGAGTCTTTCCTTCAATCTATATAGATTATAAATCTTTCCCTCTGTATGTATAGATTAGGAGTCTTACCTTCAATCTATATAGATTATAAATCTTTCCCTCTGTATGTATAGATTAGGAGTCTTACCTTCAATCTATATAGATTATAAATCTTTCCCTCTGTCTGTATAGATTAGGGATTATTTCCTCTATCTGTATAGATAAGAATTATTTCCCTTTGTCTATATGGATTAGGAATAACTTACTTGACCTCTGTAGAATAAGATATAGCGTGCAGTTTTAATTGGTGTTATTATCTATAATTTCCGCTAATATTTGTCTTATTTATATTTTCATTCGCCAGAATGCCGACAGTTCATAAAGAGATGTGTGCTGGATGTCAGAGAGCGATCGAAGACCGATTCCTCCTGAAAATCATGGACAATTCATGGCACGAACATTGTGTTTTATGCTCCATTTGCCAAATGCCTTTAACCGGAAGTTGTTTCGCACGGAATCGGAAGTTCTATTGCAAATTAGATTATGAAAAGTAAGTAGTCATTCTCTTTGAAGTTTTTGTATTGAAATGTCAATGTATTCGTTTATTCTGTTTGAATGCCAATGTGTAACATTTAAATTGAAATCTTACAAACTTCTGGGTCAGAAATCTATCCCACTATACCAATAATGGTTAAGTCAGTATTTCAATAGTTTCGAGACATAAATTATATGGAAAACCAGATCTTATTGGATGACGTTGCTTTAGTTACAATTCAGGTTTCACATTGACATTACTTACTTGGGTTGACCAAGGTTTACATGGCGGGTATCGTCGATGAAGCAAATGATACTAACTCTTCCGGAACTTTTGGTCTTTTTCTCTTTTTACTATTTCAGGGGTCTCTATGTAAAGTTTCCTTTTGTTCATATTTTGCCTTAGTTTTATTGAATCAGTGTTTATATTAAGGTTATGTTGACATGTGGTACTTTTTACATACGTATTAAATGAATAAATGAATAGATAAAATATTGAACAACGATTTAAGTTAAATCTGCATGTAAAGTTATAAATATAACAATGAATTAAAATAAAATTTCACCAATTGAAGTTTTGACAGAACAGTTGCGCTTGGTAAAAAAATGTTTAAAATTTGACATTTTGCAACATTTATCATGTTATAATAATTAAACATAGTGCTTGATTTGATTTCTTTTAAAACCATTATAATTGCCACACAATAATTTTTGCAAAGTGATATCGATTTTAAAAACATTCCTTTAAATATGCGAAAACCCACATGTTTAAATGTTATATCTTTTCTGGAACATAATATGGTGTTGATATTAAATATAGTTAAGAGCTAATATCAAACAGCAATGATAAAGCCTTTCACAAACCACTGTACATTTTTTTATAATATTGCAAAATGTAATTATTATTTTCAATATAGCGTAGTTATTACAAAAAAAATAAGTAAATATAGTTTTCAAATAAAACAGATTTGCTTCTAGATATGCAATAACATATAAATATAATTACTCAATCATTATAAGTATTAATTACGATACATAGTAACTATCAAATATCGTACAGAAATATTATCAAATACATTTATGAAAAAATACTTCAAAATATAGTCGAGAAATACGATCAAATTCGTACAGAAATACAGTACAGAAATACTGTAGTCAAATATGATATAGAAATAATATCAAATATGAAACAGACATACCTATCCTAATGTAGATTTTCTTGTTAATGTGGTTCAATGTCAGTATTAATTATATTTTATCCTTACTATTTAATATCGTGTTTGTTAGTAAATATGATTTTGTTTTATAAAATAGATAATTCAATGTTACCCTTCAACATATGTTATCCGTATTATAAAATGTAGTCTTATTTAAAAAAATACATAATTAAATAATGCTATCCAACATACTTAATCCTTACCAATAAATATAGTGTTATGTAAACATACTTAATTCAATGTTACCATTCAACATCTGTTATCCGTACTACAAAATTTAGTGTTATTTGAAAATACATAATTCAATATTTCCATTTAACATACTTACTCGTTACAAATACATATAATGTTATGTAAAAAATATATAATTCAATGTCATCATTTAACATATTTTTATTTACTATTGAATATAGTGTTTTATAAAAAAAAACATAATTCAATGTCGCAAATTAACCTATTATCTAATGTAATTTTATATAACATTCAACAAAGAAAATATACTTTTCTATAAATCTTTACATACATAGTACTCTCAACAGATTTGGGACGTGTTGACCTCTGATGTTGTAAAAGATGCCCTCTATAAAATACAGAGTTACAATAATAGGAAACATTACTGAACTTACTCAAACAATTATTCCCAGAATAGGTTAAATCAATGAGCTGCAGGAATTTACCGATAGATTTCTAGAACATTAGGGATTTTAACGATACAAGATAACATGAGGATTCTGTGAGCATTACACGTAGTATGCAGTAAAGTGTGATAAAACTGAAATGAAAAAAGGTTTGCAAACTTCACATATAAGGGCATCCTTTATTTCTTATTACTGATTTACAGTCTACGCGACTTATAAGCAAAACATACTTTTAAAAGATCTGTAGTAGTTCGTATTGTATATTCCACACATTTGACTGTGTATTCGCGCTGATGTTATATTCTGGGAATTGGCATTGTGTATCGCGGTGATGGTTGAGGTTTGGAATGCCGACATCGATTTGTAGAATCTGTTATGTGTTTACCGATTCAATTAAACATGTGCGATCCTAAAACAAATTGTTCCTACCCCTTGGTTACCGATAACTGCAATTGTTCGGGAATTTATTAACGGAATCATCGCCGTCTTCGACACCAACCATCTGGGCTGAGCCATCAACGACACGCGAGGCACCAGGAAATAGTTACTACCTTCAGTTATCCATTGGAACCCGTGGCAAATAAGAGTTTTTTGTAAAATGTTCCATGCAAATGTTATCATTAAAGTAACAAAAATATATACATAAATTATATCTATGTTTTTAAAACTGGATGGAGAGCTGATCTGATGTATAAAACCTTTCGAGAACCCCAGATATCGAAAGTATTGACTAAACATTGAGCCGGCACGCGACCACGAGGTCCGGGAAGGACGACGCGAATCTCGGCGTTTAGTCGCATGAAATATGACATTTCGAAGCGGTCGACGAATTAATAAGGATTAATTATACATCGCTGAGAGTTGAAATGAACAAAATTAGAACTATAAATCAAGCACACCCTCATGGAATTCCCTTACGTCAGAGGTCATAGGTCACTGTAACTGCTGCTGACCCCATTTATGGAGGTGCAATTTTCTGTACTATCCACAGAGCTCAAACGAGTATAACAAAAATAATTTGATATCCTTCAACAATGTTTGATCAATAAATCTTATTAAAGTGTAATTATGAAAGCAACCTTTCATATCAAATTTGCTTATTTTAAATCTTTTCTTCTCTCTTCTTAGCAGAATGCAAATGATGCTTTCTTCTTATACTTGAGGTGGGCTAATTGCTCCATCCACTTTTCACTGAGACACAAGAGCAAACAATAAAACAAAAATGAGTAGTTCTGTGTGAAGAGCAATGGAAGTGTATTATACAGTGGGTTAAAGTTTGGTTAGGTTGATATAAAAACGACAAATGGATGTGACACAACAATACAAGCTCTCACTACTGATAAGGTATAGTATCATCAAGACTGTTGTAGGGAACAGCAAGAATTATCAATTAAAGGTTAGAAGTTACAAGCGAAGAGATTTTGAAGATTGGCTTAGTACAAAGGGGTTATTGAGAAATGCGAGGTATGAAAGGCTAATGTAATTAAGTTGTTTGTGTGATAGCTTGGAGTGAGAAAGTAGACAGTAAATGGACATGTGATCTGGGTTTTCGTTTGCAATAGTAAGAAATAAACATTATAACCTGCTTTTATAACTGTATTCTATTCAGTGTCTAATAGTTTGCCCGTTTGAGATGTTTGAGCAGTCAGCCGCATCAACTGTTCATAGTTAACTTGGTTAGCAATTGGTCGTTTCCAGGTGATCTATAATGATTTACTTTAATTGATTTGATGGTCATACTTTCATGGTCTGAGATTTAACGTATGTTTTTTGACAGGCTTTATATCGTTATGAGGTTATTGCTGTTGCAGTTTATTTTTGTTTGTCATTCGGCTATATTGAACAGGACATATTATTCTGAATGTTTTCACAAATAAGAAGCAGTCTTTAATCCTATGGGGGTGATTTTTTTTCCAGCAAATATCCTCTTTTATTTATTATGTTATAGAATGATACTTGAATGAGAACAAAAACATAATGTGAAAAATGCTTAATTTTTAATTGATCTCACAGACCAAACTGTTATTGATTCATAAAATCAATGTTATAAGATTAAAACTTTTAAACAGCATCCATATTTGAAAGAGAAACATATGTATTACGGGATAACTAGCCTGGTGTAGGGGGGTTGCTGTATTTGTGATTTTTTAAAGACAAAAACAACCCAAAGATATAGTTATTCCCGCGTCCTAAAATCAAGAAAGAAAATTGATCCGCTAAAGTAAGGATTCGTGTATTTGAAATCCCGATAATCCATGCAAAATGATGTTGAAATTTACTTCTAGAGGTCCTCCCAAGAGAAATTCCTTAGAAAGAGTTACACACTGGAATTAAATGAAACGCGACGTCAGCTATGGCTTCACAAATGTAGACCACAAGTACAATTTATGTAAATCGTTTTATAAAGCACCCCATTTTATCTTGCTGGTAAAAGTATAGATAACAAAGTATATAATGTCCTACTTCTGGTCATATCATAAATCCTGAACCTGTGTCGTGCTTTTCACTTGCAATTTAACTGAGCGAATACGCTGTTTTAATGACAATCAATATGCGTGTATAAATTATTTCCTCTGCTAATTTATAGGTGTATTTTTTTAACATTTTACAATTTATTTATTTGGATCTGTTGTTTAACTGAATTGTTATTTTATTTCGTTTGAAAATAACAAATTAATATCATTACACAGTACACGTGATACTTGAGGCGAGAGTCTGCATTGTGGTATTGGAGGGAGCTCGTGTGTGACAGATGAGCTGGAAAGGAATCACGACACATTTCTATCGTAGCGTTAGTAACATTATTACATCACAACAGAACACAACCCGGTTATTAATGCACTGCTACGTGAACTTGACGTTCCAAAAGAGAAAGAAATAAAACGAATGTTTCAATAACGTCCATGTGTATTGAGAAAATCTTTCATATGGGAGAAGACGTTTTTAATAACAGAGGTTAGCCCTAAGACTATTTGTGCTTCATATTGACAAACCGTCATTTGCCGTTTTTAGATCATTTGTCATTCTATTCCGTGAGGCGGTGATGACGAAATACGACGCGTAGGGTTTGCCCACGGCTTACAAGATATTGCTTAGACTCTATTCGCCTTGTCTTGTTATTGGTCCGCCAGTCCACAAGTATTCAGGTTTCGTGAATAAGT